ACAATGAGTGGCAATCTGAATAAAATGAGAGTGGGGGCCATGTAGATATCTCAGGGTGGGTTGGACAGGGTTATATCTAGTAGATGAAAGTACCATATAAGGGCCCCAAGGTAGAAATATGCTTGGCATAGATGAAGAACATCATGTTGGCAGAGGGGATGAGAGGAAGAGTGGGAAGCAGAAAAGAGAGACATGTCGAGGACACAGGGTTATATTGTGAGTGTGATGGGAGCCGCTGGCAGGTTGAGAGAAGAAGCATGACGGGTTAGTGGGAAGCTGGGGGAGAACGAGAGTGGAAATAGGAAGAATCTTCATTAAGAAGTCTTGAAGGGTTCCATTTCAAAATGTTTCGTCAGAGAAAAGAGCAGACACAATGCTTTTCAAGTAAACTAGCCTGGTATCAGATCAGCTTGGGCAGGATTGGGCTGACCCAGGTTATGCTACAGCCACAGTACTGAGAATGGACAGGAGGAAGCATCTGGAGCTGCCTTGGAGATGGGATTAATGGAAGATCGTGGTGCAGGACTTACAGGGGATGAAGGAGAGTGATCTATCAAAGATGAAGTCAAGAATATTTTTCCCCTGCTAGTTTTCCAAGTCTGAGTTTCTCCTTCAATTGTCGTGATTGAAATTTCATGGAAGAAAAGAATGTGTTACACTCTTTTCTACTAGAATGAGGAAGGTTGCAGAGCAGGAATGTGGGATCATACAGAGCAGGGCTCACACCCTGGCTCCCCCACAGATAAACCACACCCCCAGCGGCTCACCTAAGCTCTGGGAGTCGCAGTATCCCTGCCAGTAAAATAGCAATAAAGATATCTGCCCGGCAGAGCGGGGAGCACTAAGTGAGGAAACACTCATGAAGAACCTAGTTCAGGACACAGTGTCTCCTCAGTTTGAGTTCATTCTGTCCTCCATTTGCACCAGCGGAGTTCAGTACATATGCCTACACTGTTTGAGAAGTTATCAGTATTTTACATGTCATTTTTGTGCTCTTTGCCCTCCTTGCCCTCTCCCCCAGCCTGCTTATGCTTATAAACTCATTTCTGTGTTTTGATGGGGCCCATTCTCATCATTTGGTCACTCTCCTTCACCCTCACTGGTACTACCTCTGTTTAGATATGTCTTTCCTTTCATCTGGACAGTTGCAGAAACCTCCCAATTGGTCTCCCCACCATCCAACCCATATTCTCACATCCTTCAGGCACTCAGCATCATCTTCAGGATGAAATCTAAACACCGAGCAGGGCTTTCCACAATCCATGCTGCCTTTGGCTTTTCATGCACTCTCCTCCCTGATTAGCCCATCTTTGGTTTACCCCTGCTCTCCATCCTCTACCCTTACAAGCCTACACTTTTATTCTTAGTGCTCCCATGGTACTTTGTACCTTCTACTGCTTATTTCCCTATTATTTCTATCTTAAATGACCAAGGTATTTGGTGCAGGGGTTCAGAGCCACCCACTCCCCTTTCCAATCTCAGCTGAGTGTAATGACTAGGGATTAATTAAATAAATGATGATACATCCTAACACTGGAATGTGACGACCTCAAGCAAGTTATCTCACCATTGCGCTTCAGGGATAATAATGATGTCCACCTCATAGGGCTGTTGTATTAAGAGTTAATATATCCAAATCACTTAAATAGTACCTTCTACATAGTAAACCCTCAAGAAACATTGCCTATAATTATAACACCAATCTCCCTGAGTTGGAGTTCCTTGAAGGATGAGACTAGATCTAACTCTTTTTTTTTTAAATTAAAAGTCCTATTAATAGACACTCAAACGTTTGTTGAACAAAGATATAAGCAAATCTTCTTTTAAAGACTTCATTCTCCCTTTTACTTAGCTATGTTTTCACTGCAACATTTGGACTCTGTCCAAGCTTTTGTTAACAAAAATACTGTTGTTAATAATTTTGTAAACTTTCGATTTTCATTTCCATTTTTAACTTGGAGTAAATTTCCCAAAGTGGAATTATCAGTTAATGATAGAAAAATTTTCTAGCTTTTTATACATATTCATAGATTGTTCTTCAGTAAGATTTGTCCAATGACTACTTAAATGCCCAAATATAGGAAACTTGTTAAACAATGGTATTTTTTTGTAGCAGAATATTATGCAGCCATTAAATATCATGTTTCTCCATAGTTTAGCCATTATGGGTTTTTTATCATTTCCATTTATTTTTGTTGGTTTAATAGGTGGGTAGTGATCCATTAAGGTCATTTTAATTTGCACTTTTAATGAGTCTCTTTATTTTTCCTAATGGTGAGTTACTATATTTATAATCAAATGGGCTAACTTTTGGCTCATTTTCCTTGATTACTTATGGAATGTAATTGAATACTGACCACATATATTTGAATCTATATATCTGTATCAATTTCTATCAGTATATTTTGGATAGGAAAATTCTATTGTTTGTATTTAGCATAGGTATTTTCTTCCTTGTGTGTTTTCCTTTAACTATGTTTTATGCTCTGATATGTTTTATTTATTTGAATTCATCTGTTTTGTCTCTACCAATGGCATCTGTTAAGTAAAATAGTAGAATGACAGGGCTTGGAGGAACTTCGGTGCCATGGCCCTTATTCTCTTGTACATGAGGAATCAGAGGGTCCAAGAATCTGACTTACCTAATGCTACAAAATTGTCATATATTTAGTAGCTAAAAAAATATTTAAATTTTCTAGTTTTAAAAAATACAACCCAGGTATTCTGGTATGGAATGGGATTTGCCTGAGTCATGGGACATGTAAATGTAATGTTTAAACTACTCAGAGCATGGGAAGAAACATTTGTTTAATACCTTCTGCTGAATACATATGGTATTATGTGTCTGTGTGTGTGTGTGTGTGTGTGTATGGTGTGTGTCTGAGAGTGGTAAGAAAGCAAGCCAAAGAGGAGACACACACATACTCACACATACACACAGCAAAAACCCTTGACTTTTCTCAAAAGTTTCTTCTACACAGCAGTCCATTTGTTCTGATTTGTTTCTACAACGACTATCACAGGATTTCCCAAAATGGTGAAGAATTAGAAATAATTTAAATGCCTAATAATGAAATTCATTTAACTGTGTTGCTCCCACATAGTGGACTACTCTGAAGCATTACAAATGATGTTGTAGAAGAATATTTACTGACATAATTAGATAAACATATCTATTGTTAAGTTAAAAAATGAACTATGTTTAAAGAAGACCTAAATAAGTGGAGCTATATATCATATTCATGAATTAGAAAGCTCACTATTAAGATATCAGTCTTCTCCAAATTAATCTATGGATTCAAAGCACTCCTAATAAAAATTTCAACTACTTTTTTCTTGGCAGGGGGGAGGTGGTCAAAATTGATAAGCTGTCTTTAAAACATATATGGAATACAAAGGATCTAAAACAGGCAAGACAAAATTGAAGAAAAAGAAAGTTGGTGGCTTATACAATCAGATTAAAATATTTAATATAAAATTACAGTAGTTAAGATACTTTGGTATTGATATAAGAATAGATAAGCCAAGAGAAGAGAGTATATATCCAGAAACAGACTCACATATATATTGTGGGGGAAAATGGTCTTTTCAAGAAACAATTTTTGGGCAATAGATATTCTTATGGGGAAAAAAAGAAAGAGATTTATCTCTACTTCATACCATATTTAAAAAGTAAACTTGAAATGGGTCACACCTAAATAACAAAACAATAAAGCTTCTGAAGAAAACATGGGAGACTATCTCCATTACCTTAGGTCAGTTAAACACTTCCTAAACAGGATACAAAAAAAATGTTAAACATAAAAGGAAAGATTAATCAATTGGACTTCATTAAAATTAAGTTTTGTGAAAGGGCAAGTCACAGACTAAGAATCCAAATCCTATGAAACAATAAGAAAAAGGCGAACAATCCAGCTTAAAAATGAACAGGAGCAAATGTCCAAATGTCCAATAAATGTCTGAAAAAGTGCTCAACATCATTAGTCACCAGGGAAATGCAAATGAAAACCACAATAAGATACCAACCCACAATGGCTAAAATTAAAAAGACAGAAAATATCAAGTGTCGGTAAGGATATGTACTTCACCTCTCACACACTGCTGATGGGAAAGAAAATGGTCAAGTTTAGAAAATCGGCACATCTGGAAAGTCAGATCCAAGGTTACCCTATGACTCAGTGATTCCATTCCTAGGCATATAACCAACAGAAATGAGTGTGTATGAACACTAAGAGATACCAACAAACTGTTCATGGCAGCTTTATTTTTAATAACCAGACTTTGTAATAAGCTAAATACCCTCAAAAGGGGAATTGATATGTAAATTATAGTATATTCACATGATGGAATTTTACACAGGAGAAACAAAAAGCAATCTACTGCTGCATGTAGCAACATGGATGAATCTCACAAACATTATGAACGAGAAAAAGAAGGCATAAAAAGTATATACTGTGTGATTCCATTTAGATGAAATTCAAAACCACAACACTAATCAAAAGATAAAAATCAGAATAGATTTTACCTCTAGGGCATAGGGATATTGACTGGGAAGGGGCAGGTAAGAGCTTTTCCGGAGTGCTAGTGTTCTTTATGTTGATCTATGTGATGGTCAAACAAGTATATACTTACATGAAAGTGTATCAAAATGTATATTTAAGATTAATATGCTAATATATATATGTGTACCTCAAGTTCGTTACAGGGAATTGAAATTTTCTTTTTGCTATGTGTTCAAAATGTTCTCTCTTTCTCTCTCAGCTATATTTTCCAAAAAAGTCTAAAATGAAGACATGATAAATTGTAATGAGAGCAAAATAGAAGTTAAGCTAGAGCTAAATCTCAGGTACCTATCCAAATTTAGTTCCCTGAGCCCTGGACTTGGCTAAAAATAGTTCAGAGCCTTGCCAGCTGCTGACCCGGGAGCTGGGCAGTGTGCTTCAGAAACCAGCGCAGGAGGGAAATGGGGCGGGGCCAAGTGGGGCGCTGCGGGTCTGATGAGTGCAGGCTGTTTAAGGACGCGCTTGTCATCAGTAGCCTGGCTCTTTCTCCCACTGCAGGCCAACAGCAGAGTGTAGGATCACAGTTTATTAAGAAGTGGAAATGAGAGAAAGGAACAAGAATCCATATTGATTAGAAAAGAAGAAGAGGTCCTGCTCTGGGAAGGACACTGGATGTAAAGGATGTCCGAGTAGCCAAGCCCTGGCTAATCCCAGGGTATACCTTCCTTTTCTCATCGCCCAGGTTAGACTTTTAATTTTTGTTTTTGCAAAAATGTATTCATTTTTCAACAACTCTGTTTTCAATGTTATGCTTAAGTTTGAAGAAACGAATTGCAGAATGATTCAGACTGTAGTGAGGAAAATGTTCCCTGAGTGGTTTTGTTGCTGAATCAGCGAAGAATTAACTTCACTTAACCTCTTCCTCCTTTAATGTGCCCGTCTGAAATGCAGGAATGACTAGTGTAATTATCCATGTCCCAGGGATGTTTTGAGATTTAATTAATGTTTCTAGCCCACTCTGAAATATTCAGATGAAGGGAGAGTTGATAGGAATGGTGCTATTCTACGTTGTACTTACAAATTCTGACAAGTTGCAAAGCATGGTGTGTGGTACTGTACTTCAAACATACCAGCGTGATACCTCCAAGATTCCAGCTGGCTTACCTAGTATCACCATCACCATCACTCTACTGAAACCAACTACGTTTTGTTCATTTTTTGAAGGAAGATGTAAATACAAGGGTAATTAATAACAGTGACGACATTCAGGGAGAAGACTTTAAACAAGTTGGTATGTTGCTGTTAGTAGACAGAGCACTTTTAGCCTCAAGGCAAGATGCAGTCGAGCTTCAAGACAGGGTAAGCATGTGCCAAAATCTGAGACCAAACGGAAGCTTCAAGTCAAACATGTGGGTGCCACTAGAAACCTTCCTAAAATCAAATCTATACTTTTGCATGATTTGGAATTGGCTTAGAATACTGTCTTTTCCATCCTGAAGAGACAGAAACCCTGAAATATTGTCAAGGAAAAACAATATGGGAGATGCTACTAAGATTCTATCAAGGGCTCAGGCTCCCTTTCTACATATAGTAACCAACAAACTTGGTTTTGCTTGATTTAAAAAAATGGAATCTCGGAGCAAACAGGAACGTGGTGCTGCATGATGACAATGAAGGTGACGACAAGAATAGTGGTAATGATGATAATAGCAAGCACATATGGAGGGCTTGCTCAGTGCCAGATGCTGTTCTAAGGGCTTTACATGTCTGGACTCATTTGATCTGGGCAAATCTCTAGAAGATAAGACCTATTATTATTCCTGTTTTACAGACAAATAACTGAGGCTTGGCGACGTTAAGTGTAGCTAACTTGTCTAAGGTTGTATAGCTTAGCAGCTAGCAGTGGTTTTCAAAACATTAGTGTACTTACAGTCCCCTGGAAAACTAGTTAAAATTAATATTCTCAGCCCAAGACTAGAGATTCTGGTTCAGAAGTATGGGACAGGGGCTAAAAATACATTTTTAAATAAATATCCATTATAACTTTACTCTAGGTGGTCTTTAAACCATCCTTTGGGAAACAGTGGCCCAGATCTACAAAAATGAGAGGCTGGGAATAAAAATTTTCCAGTGTTTCTCTAGGAATGGCCTTCCCTCTTTAGCTAAATAGTAGACCATTTGCCCACCTGGGGCTGTATGTCCTTGTAGTGAAAAATGACTGTATCAGGCTGCCATTACTTAATGAAAATAGCCCTTCAAAATATCCAGGTTGATTTTGTTAGCTTCCATATTTAACATTTAACATTCTTTAATTTGATGTTTTAACATCACTTTAATTTGATGTTTTAAATAGATTTTCCTACCAGGAAGAGTATGTGCTGATCAACAGATGTGAATTTCAGCCAGTAGTTATAACCTGAGAAGTAATGAGTAAATGGCATTGTGCTTTTTATTAATCAGTCTATGATAACTCTGATTAATGTGAATCAATTCCACAGAGCCAGCTCTCTCCCTAATGAGCTGAGGACAATGAGTTTATGAACCTGTAAACCTCAGGGCCAAAATATATTTTGAGGCCTGATTTATTCTTTCCTTAGTATACATACATCACTGAGCTGGAAGACATATTTTCAGACCCAGAATCCTTATATCTCAATCTGTCCAAATGGTAAGTTATCATGTCTGATAAAACAGTTCATAAGAAATCCTTCATCTAGGTCCTATTCTTCCACCCTTGGCTTTTAAACATATGTGACCTCTGAGATATTGAGAGACATGCTGATGAGTTTTTAACATCCTTGCCCTTTCGCTCTTCTCAAATACCATTTGTCTGATTTGGAAAACAGTATAACCTGGTAAATTTGAAAAAGACACACAAATGAGCTTGGCCAGAGACATGCTATAGGGACTGAACTAATCCACATGGCACACCCACCTTTCCTTATGATACATTTTAAAATAAAGCAAAACTGTGAGGCCTGGTAAATCCATTACAGTTCCCATAGTCCCTCTAAATGAGAAAATTATCAAGGTATTTGCCTCTGTGCACATTCCACATCCTATGCTCTGGATGGAAGACTTGGTCTTAATTTCACTTCCTCCCTCCCAGCCTCTCTATGGCCACATTAGCCCTCTTTCTCTTTCCACACTCGCTAAGCCCGCTCCTCCTTTTGGGCCTTTGTTCCAGGCCTCCTCTACCTGTAATATTTTTATCCTCATCTTCCTTCAGTTGGCTTACTATTGTTCAGGTCTCATCTTAAATGCTGCCCTTCAGAGACGCCTTTGCTGACAACCTCTATCTAAAGTAGTCACAATTAACATTTCTCATTTAATTTCTGTATAGCATTTAGCAATTGCTGATTTTTTCTTGCTTATTTATTTGTTTTTTTATAGTCTGTCTCTCTCAACTAAAATTTAAGCCTCATTCAGTCAAGAAACTTCTATTATCATATTTCTACTGTTATATCTACAGTGTCAAAAACTATGCCCTACTCAGAAGAGATGTTTGGGGAGGGAAAAAAAAGGACCACAGTGGAGAACATTTCTGATCTGAGGCTGATTCTGATTGTTGAAGACATCCACAAGCTGTTTCTTTGCTTAAGTCAAATATTTTTATTTTTATCCACTTCCTTTGGAAACAAATCAGAGATCTTAAAGATGTGTTGAGTTTATTGCATAAGACTCACAGTGGTTAATAAAAACAGATGAGTTATACTGTGAGTCTTTACTGGATATTTGTCATTAGCTCAGTCTCATAAGTTACTACAACAAGGAAAAACTGCTTAAGTGCTTGAATTCAGGTAGTTAAGTTTCAAAGACTAATAAAAACAATTATACAAAAAATTTTCTTTCCAAAGAGCTCAAAAATAGCTTGTTCATAGTAACATAGTAAGGCATCTTCCACTGAAGTCTGGAACTAGGAGATGAGGTTGCCTTTTAAGCATTAAATCAGTAAGACACACACACACACACACACTCACACTCACACACCACACACAAGATATGATAAATTCACCAAAGGAATAAACTGATAACCAGTGTGTATAACTCAGGACTTTGAAGACACCTGAAGTTCAGCCAAGCTGACCTGGGGGGTAATCTCAGGATGGAAAGCCCCAGAATGTGACCATCAATTAACAACCATTAAGATAGTCAATTATTTGGAGAAAGCCTGGATGAACAGAGGCAGTGGGCAGAGGTGCTGTCAGCCTATAGCGTGGAAAACCTAAGCCTAAGAAGCCTAAGAAGTCAGATGTTGGTAACACCTTTCCAAATACTGTTGAGGGGAGAAAGGGGCTTGGTTCAAGGACTTGAGCTCTTAGGTCTCTTGGAAAATGAATCCTTTGATAAATCATCTACCTATCTCTCCTTACTCAGATTTCATGCTCTGAATACAGAATTTAAGTCACTTTGCCCTCTGTCCATAGGGAGCAAATGCTCTGATGTGCTGATGTGAGGATCCATCTGCTAGTTGATTACATTTATCCTTAAAATGGAATAAATTTGAATTTTGGCTATTCAGCAATGCCTGTGAGTTTGGGTTAGTGTGAATCTATCCCTGAGACACAGTTTTAGAGCATGCAGTATTGACCCCATACTGCATGACATGGACTAGATCAAAACTTACACTGCCTGTGACAGGCTGGCTCTGAGAAGACAAGGACTGACACTGACCTAAGTTCAGGTCCTTCTCTCAAGTTCATCCATCATGTAACACATGACTTCCTGAGGGGAGTGGGGGAAAGACTAGAGGCCAGCAGTGCATTTTAGCTGGGTCCATCTGCAAGAACCCTTAGGCCCCCCAGAGGAGCAATGGGAACTCTCGTCCACAGCTTGACAAACTTTTTGTAAAGAGCCAGATAAATTCATTAGGCTTGGCTAGCCAAGAAGACAGGTATGCCCAAGAGGGGAACAGGGACCAGAAGGGATGGACAAAAGCTATTGCATCCCAGAACACTTTGGAGAACAAGGGTTATCAGAATTAAAGTGTGGAGAGGGCAAGATAAGACTTTTTAGAGAAAGCTAAGGAGAAAGTGCCATTGGCCAGGAAAGAGATGAGTTCAAGTAATTGGGGGAAAGTACCAAATCCAAGGTGTCTCTGAGACATCTCATAAGGGTCTGTAAGCTATATACCCACCCTTCTGTGGGTCTGTAACTGCCTGGCTGTCCCGGGGCCCTGGTGGCTCTCTACCATTCAGCTGGGTCAAGGGAGCTGCCCCAGGACTTTGGATAACACACCTAAATTGCACCCAGTGAATGAAAGGGCCTTGTTTTGAAACTGGATACTCCAGTTACAACTAAGTATCTGTTTCCTTGAGTAGAGGAACAAGACTTACTGCAAGAACCCAATTTAACCAACTTTACTGTTTGCTTTTGGGTTGAGTATAGTACACAGTCAGGATATGCTTTTTTCCATGATAGCTTTTTATTATGTATTTCATTCTTTGGAATTTAAATCACTTTAAATTTTTATTTATTTAAACTTAAAATATGCAGCTGAACAGATTAGTGTAATTGACCAGAAGGTGAGCTGGGATCACACAGCAGTTGGGGATTCGGTGACAGAAATGTAAATGGAGCTTGGGCTCTGGGTTCTAATCTCCTATTACCATTCTACTGCAATGATTCTCAAATGCTGCAACAGATAGGGTGGCTGTAGTTGGAAAAGCTCTTATTCCTCCATACCCTCACTCTGAATTTACTCCTTCATCTCATCTTGTTTGGGGTCTTCTAGAGGGCCCTTCAAACAAATCAAAACAAAACAAAACAAACATGAGTTTTACTACTCAAGCTGGAGAATGGTTTTGCTCATTTAGAAGTGGTCAGTAGAAGAGAACAGAACCATCCTGAATCAGCAAATCCCATGAGCTTGGGTGATGCAAACCAGGAGACTGTGGCTGGGATCAGCCTCATTCACTGGCAAGAAGCTGCCCAGTAAATCACAAGATCAAACCATTTTAAGCCCTCTCTTTTCTAAAATAGAAGACAAGAGTGTGTCACACTCATATGCATTTTGAAAGCATCAAAGACCAGTAAATTCTTCTAGAATTTGAATCTGTGGCAAGCAAGTAACTTGAGTAAGATGACAAAACCATCCTCCACCAAATGAAAGTGGACCGTAAGGTTACCAAATCCTTAAAACATACCAACATCCCTCTCCCCAAGAGGATAAAATGTAACTGTGGGGCTTAGGTAGGTTAATACCATCAGGCAAACATTAAGAGGAGACTGGAAGAGATTGACTGATCCTGGCATCAGTATTATAGAGGTACTGTTGCGCTGTCAGTATAGCTTTTAAACACCTTATCTAATATAACATAAAACCTAGAATCATACATTTTTGACGTTGAATGGACCCTAGAGAAATTAACCAGATGAAGAAACTGAATCCTACCTTTGGACTCAAAATCTGTGGGCTGGCCTGGACCAGCAGCCTCCTGCAGACCGCTAGCATAGTGCATATCATATGGTATTCCCATTGTCTGAACCCTCTGCACTGGGCCCCTGGACCACAAGACTGTGTTCTTTATCTTTGAATTGCTAACATCTAGCACAGTGTCTGGCACTTAGTAAGTATCCAAATAATGCTTGTTAAGCCAATCAAGAGAAGCAAGAGTATGAATCCTAGGGCAACAGGAAGAAAACATTTAGAGGAAAAACCCTTCTCTGATCTCCCAGGGCAACATTACCTTAAAAAAGCAAAAGGGAGCTTAATCTCAGGGTGCCTTTTTTTAAGGGAACACCCCAAGTCACAGATAAGCATTTGCTAGACTGCCCAGAGCTATCACTTCCATCATATTAACAGCATGGATTGCTTATTTTGTTTTACTGGAGTATTAGAATGAGCTCACTCACAGTTAAGTCCCTGCTTTAATTAAGCAGAAATAAATATTGGGCAGATAAGTGACTTTCATTCAAGTATTTCAGAAGTGTTTTACTTTTGAAGTCTGAACTATTAAGGATAGATAAAAAACAGCATTGTTTGAAGTTAAAAGTACAGTTTAGTGCTTCATGGAAAATGATTAAATGTAATTCTGTCTCCCTAATGATCATAACGGTTCATTAGATTTACTAATTATTTGAAACAATCATATCTTTTCCGTGTCTAAATTATTTGGCTCTTTTCTCTGAAAAGACTAAAAATACAGTGAAAAAAGAACTGTGCATTGCATATTTATAAGCCAACACAAGACAAAAGGAAGCAATAAAGAATTAAACATTACATTCTCTTAAGAAATGTTTTCTTTCAGTATTACATAAATTTCTTTGTGCTTTTCCATTTTCTTTTTGAAACCAAGTAACCCTATGACATTTCAAAGTGAAATAACTACACACACAATTTTTATGTAGAGGTTAGGATGACTTTTTTTTTAGAACCAAGTATAATTAACCACACACAGCATATTATTCATTGTCCTATGACCTTTGTTATTTAATTTCTTATTCTGAAAATGTTTGCTTCTAAATTTAGCCAGGAAAATGAGGGAATGTCATGGTTGCTTTGCTGGCTGAACATTACAGAGGATTATAACTAGATGAATTTTCAAATGTGGATGTTTGAAAAATATATTGTTTGTGTGCTTCGGCAGGTGAAAAGTTTAATAAAACCCAGTAATTTGAATTTACAGAGAGACTCCCCAACCAAAGTTCTGAAAAATTCTAAGTAAC